ATCTTTGCATAAGTTTTCTGATATTTGAGTTCTAAATGTGTGCCAGTATCACAATTATAACTCAGACAAGCTGAAAGAATGGTGTGCAACTTTTTAAAACAAGGATTATATTTCAGAGCACGAAATCAGAGCTTACATTCAAAAATACTGGACATTGGCACCAGCATCACAACAATAGTTCAAAAAATGTCATGAATCAAATGCGCAAAAACAGAAGTTATGATCCAAGAATTCGAGTTGTTCGAAACAAAATTAGAAATTATAGCCTAAGGTCCTAAGTTTCTGAAGATGGTGTAAGTGAATGGTCTTGCGGATTAGCAGATGAAGTTTCAATAGCAAGAACGGGGCCCGACAACTCAGAAGATAAGGGCCCAGATGGCAGAGGAGCAGAATTCTCAGGGTTACTGGTCCAAGCAGCCTCCACTCCAGCTATGGGTGAATCTTGGGCAAGGGCCTCAGCCATGAGGTCAGCAGAGAGGGAAGTATTAATAAGAGCAGTTGTAAGAGAGGACATTTCAGTGCCTTCTGGAGCCCTAATAGAAGTGGTAGGAGCCAAGGGGTTATCATGACCTTCTGAGTCAGTCTCTTGTAACTCCTCCTCAGTGGGGGTAGCAAAGTCGAAGTCGAGGTCTGGATAGGCCTTCTCCACTTTGTGGTGAAAGGCCAACCATCCTGAGGCCCACTTGGTGGTGACATCATCCTTCAGCTCGGCTATTATGTCATCCTTCTCCCTGATAGTTGTCTTCTACACTTCGAGCTCACCATATAAGCTCTCGTTCGCCTCTGACAAGGTAACATACTCCTTTTTAAGGCTCTTGAAGGAGCTCCGAGCATCGAAGACTTCTTGGATAGCTTTGGTCCAGGCATTGGTTTTGAGTAGCAGCTCTTCTCTGGTCATCCTCAGCTCATTCTTAACCTTCTTCTCTCTTTCCTCAGTCCTATCCTTAGCAGCCTAAAGGCCTTCGTAGTTAGAGGCCAGCTTCTTCATTTACTCCTCGAGCTTTTGCACTTGAGCTCTAAGGCTCTCATTGTCAAAGGTCAGCTCAGCGACCTTAAACTCATATGTCTTCAAAGTTTTGGCAGAGTCCTCCGAAGATCAGACCCTGTCCATCAAGTTCTTTAAATGGAGAGCCATCTGTGGACAAAAAAGAAAACATGTATAGATTAGCACAATTCAAACGCGCCGAGCTAAGAGCGAGTGTAAAAATACTTACAGTGACTGCTTCTTGGAGAGCAGAGCAGAAAGAGGACTCAGGGAGCATGATAGAGGCCTTCTGAATATCGAATTCAGGGAGAATGGATGAAATGACCCTAGCAGCCAACTCAGCGTTGTCGAAGAAAGAATCTTCATCAGTCTCCTGGTCCTCCCTCTTTTCGACTTGGGGCTCCAGAGAGGCAGCTGGGATGGTTGCTCAGATGGACCAGGGGGTGCAGAGTCTGGCTAAATTCCAGTAATTAGCCCCAAGGCTCCCTCAACCTCAGAAGAGGTGGGGGAAGCCAGCCCTGGCTCAGAAGCCTTTTTGGGGGCAAGCTGGGCCCCTTGAAGAGGAGAAGGGGCCGGGGATTGAAATGAGGGAGTTTGTCTCCCTTTGCTCAAGGTAGCAGAAGAGGGCACTCCCAATTTTTGTACTTTAGCCCTGTCAATGAAGCTGCCTCTAGAACTAGTCTTAGCCTTCCGTTTGCCACTTTTCCTACTCTTCTTCAGTAGGTCAACCTTAGCCTGGAGTTCGCTAGGGGTAGATTTCATTATGGAGGAGCCTGGGAGATCTGAACCAAGCAAGTTAAACAGGGGAGAGGAAAAAGAAGGGAAGACAAGGGAACCAACTCAGAAAGTGTTACCTTCTATGTCTTCAGGTCTAACAATTGAGATAGGAAGCGAAGCTTCTATCGATGCCTCAGGAGGAATAAATCCTTGTGTTACTAAGACCTAGGGCTTGATGAGCTCGGAGTACTTCTCTGGATTACACTTCTCCAACTTTCGCTTCACCCTCTCATCCTCAGCACTGAGCTCTGGTCGAATACCTGAAAAACAACACAAGGAGAGCAAAGGTCAAAAAGGAAACTCGATAATTTTCAAACTAGAGCTCAATCAGTTCAAGCAAGGACTCACCTAAGTTATCAGGGATGTGCAAAGTTCTAGGGATACCTAGAGTATCAGTCCTGTTAGTAGGGTTGTACTCCTAGTTGGTGCCCCCAATGAAAAAGAATTGTTTCTTCCAACCCTTATGGGAGCTCGGAAGGTGAGTAATGATCTGCCTAGCCATGGTTCGTTTGGTACAAGAAACCCTCTGATGAGGTGAGCTTGACATTAAAAAGATCCATAAGCAAGGAAAGGCTAGGGACCCCAAGCCCATGTATCTTAAATAAAACTAGAAGACCCACAAGTACACTCCATAAATTAGGGGAGAGCTGAGCAAGACAGACATTGAAGTGTTGCAAAACACTCTTGACGAAGGGATGGATAGGAAAACGAAGGCCATTCTCAAAAGTGGCCACAAAAAAACATATTTTCTTATGAACTTGGGCAACATATGAGGTGTATTTATCTGGGCACCAGGGGTTGGACTCCAGGAGGAAAACCATAAGGAGCACTGAGAATTTTTATAAGAGAAGAGTCAACCTTACTAGGACCTACGAGCTCAGCATGCCTAAAGGCAGCCCCTGTACCCGCTGCGCTGTCAGAGACTCCTACCCCACTCAACTTGCCCTTACCTATGTTAGGATTAGGGGGCACGGAAGAAGACGATGGGGGTGGTTCCTTTGTATTTTCCTCGGCATCGACAACATCTACACCGGAAAAATTGTCGATTTCCTCGCCCACATCTCCTAAATCAGTGTCCTTTTTGGCAAACCTTTCCCCCAAGAGAGAAGCGGAGGAGCGAGTAGCTCTGGAAGGAGTACACATGACTGGACAAGAGAAAGGAAAATTGAAAGAATGGTAGAGAGGAGGAATACTAACTAAGCACTCCCTGATAACCCTAGGGTCAACGCAGTAGCTTCCAACAGTACGGATTCACACGATAAAAGACCAGTCCACGAAGTGGGGGAGAAGAGACAAGCAGTAATCTTGATTCCAAAAGTAAAAGAACTGAAAAGCCCAAAAACGCAATGGCCACCTTGAATTCGAGGGATCCAGAATGAGAAAAGGTGAAAAAGGAACAAAAGGGCATACCTAGGTAGGAAGGAGCAATGAATAGCAGCCTAGAGTGAAATGGAAGAAAGAGGGCAATGCGAATCTTCAAATCGAACCCACAAAACTCGATCTTGAATGAGGAATCAAAGAAATCTAAACCAAAAAGTCAGGAAATCATAAGAAGAAAGAAGCAGCAGAGAAGTTGAACAGTGGAATAGGGCAGTTCAGATAGCTGTTTGAGCATTTAAAGCTTGAGAGACGTGGGCTGGAATGTGCACAGGGAAACGAGAAAGCCATGATTGCTGAAAATCGTCAAAAAAGCCTCACTTACGTGCAAGCCAAGGTTAGCCACGTGCAGATCCAGCTCGGTTTAAAAAACAGCTCAATCCCTGCCTAAGCTTGCTTGAACCAGGGATTGGGGGGCAACTAATGATACCTCAAATAAGCCCTAGCTATGAGCTCAAGAAATGAGGTCAAGTCAGGAGGTCAGGAAAGACACGGAGAACTCAGAGAACCAAGGGTAGAACTCCCCTTGGGGAGATCGTAGCAGAACCGACCAAGAAACAACTGGATGACTGCAGAAATTGAGCCCAATGCATGAAACTCTCAATCAACCAAGATTCTCTCATAAAATCAAGGAGGATCCTATGAATAATTGGCAAAGATCTTAGTTGAAATCCAACAGAATAGGGAGCAGCCTTATAAATACTATGTAACGCTTCATCGAGAGGTGAGGACCCTAGAAGAACCCTAATTAGATCATGAATTGTACTGTAATACATTTGAGTGATCAATAGAGGAAAAAGGAGCAATAACCTCCATTAGAGAATAGATTAGCCGGGCTCCAGAGGCGGTGAACCACTATATTCCTACTGTGCAAATTTCCCTATCCCCTAAAAAACACTTCATCACTGTCATTATGAAGTTGGCAGCCTAGATTCACCTTTGGTCCCACGCACTCTGTTCACCTACGTTAATCTGCACCATAAGGTATGATGGAAAAACAGATGGATGGATGAAAAATTGGAAGGATGAAAAGTTAGAGGGATAAATAAAATTTTATGTTTGGTAAGGAAGGAAAATAGGAAGGATGAAAAAGTGGATGGATTAATTTTCCTTCCAACTCACCAAAATCAATCCCTCCAAAATCAGACGGAAAGTGGGTGAAAAATTAATTATTTATATTGAGATATATCTTATTTGTCTATATATCTTTTTATTTATACATATATTATGTATACATTAATTTCATATAAAAATACAATAATAAAATATGTAAAAAATAAAAAATTTAAATTAAAAAAAAATTTTCCATTTTAATTAGAGATGAAAATTTTTAACTAACACGATGACAAGACTTGAACTTGACACGAATTTTATGATACGAACTTAATTAATTCAAACACGAATACGACATGAAAATAAACATATCAACTCGTAACTTGACACAACACAATTAATTAAATAAGTTGAGTTATATGTGACTAATATTCAACACAAACCCGTAATGACTCAACACAAATCTAACACGTTACGACTCGATTGTCACCCCTAATGTTAGCTAAAAAAAAAATTATTTTTATTTTTCATCCATCCAACCAAACACAAAGGAATGAAAGTGTATCATTCCTATTTTACTTCCTTGAAGGATAGAAAATGTATCCCTCCTACTTTCCATCCTTTCTACCAAATGGAGCATAACTATTTTTTAGTCTCCATAAATACACAGTGCATGAAACTTAAGAGTTCCTTCACTATATTTGGCTTTTGATCTTGGATTTTAAGAGCACATAATGTATTCTTTACTTGAATATTATTGAAGCTCTACAGTTAATGTAAGGAGGCATCCATGGAAAATTTTGTGAAATTACAGGCAAAACCATACCTCTTCAGAGATGTACTGTGGGGCTATTCCCTTGATCCGACCAATAACATGGTCGACATTTGTGGTGACCTTCTTTTTGAAGTCAACGGGTTTCAAACTAACAGGGGCCAGGGGCATGCCAAGTGGTCTTCTCCAAGACCAAGATAATAGCTCATCGCGGAAAAACATAGCTAGATGATGCCATAAATGCTGACTTTGCTACAATGGAAGGTATTTAAGATACCATTAGTCAGCATTGGGAGGAAAAAGAAAAAAAAGACCAGCTAAAAGTTGAAGCTAACGCATTTCTGCTATAAAACTCACTTTAGGTGAGACCACAGCCTGTGCTGTTGCACACATGGCCAACACAATAAGGCCTTCCACACCGAAATGGGAGAAGAATGCCTGTAAATTCCTTGTCAAGTGGAAAGGCACTGGTTCATTAAACTCAATCATTCCATTAGCATCATATGCAGGATGGAAATCTGTCTAGAATATTTTCTCGATGTTCTTAGCAAATAATATCTTGTTTGGAGGCCTCCCCCCAATTTGTATCATATATGACATGAAACTTGAGAGGGGCAACTGGATGGCAAATTGCTTTTTGAAAGCCCAATTATCAAAATGTAACAACTACCTTTTAGCTTGAGGATAAGAACATGTATTTAATCATTCGATTTATTATACTTGTGCTTGCTAACTCAATTTAACCCCTATACCAACAAGAAGTTAATCGCAAGATAAAGATGGATTGTGATAATTAAGAGCATGATTTTGATGTCATTATAATGGTTTACAAGAATTGTCTGTGCCGAGACTCAACTTGTCTACAAACAAGCAAGTGTCTCTACAAGGCATCCAATCATGACGTTAATATTCTATTCTTTAAATGAAGCACAACAATGGTGAAGATTGAAGTATAGTCACGAAGATCTAGCGGGGTTACTTGCCTTGAACACATGGATCTTTCTATGAAAGAGTCATCCATGTCATAGAAAGACCCCACGGTTATACAAAGAACCTTACTTTTGCTAGATGCATTCAATTATTCAATAAGCACGTGTAATATAAAGCATTACAACATAAACAAAATGCACAAGATATAACTTCTGGATGATTTATACATATCCATCACCTCTTACTAAAGAGTGAATGAAAAAGTACTTACTCTTTATGGCTTTGATAAAGCTAGAAAAGTGAGTGATGCTCATCCTCCAAGTAGAGGAGTCACAAGGCAAAATACACTATCCAAGGAGCCAATATTCGACGAAAAATGAGTGAATCACGTTCCACCCTTCACGAATTTGGTAAAGCTCTAGAAAAGTGGAAGAGTTTTACTCCTCTAAAGGAATAAGGAAGCTCATACAATGGAAGTAAAAGAAGCTAACAATGAAAATAGAAGAAAGCTAGTCACTTTTACAGGGTTTCCACCGCAACCAAAAGATGATTCATCTCCCTTGATACAAGTAAATGAAAACCTAAGTCTAAGACTAATTCTACAACTACAAGTGGGAGTCTAAGCCTCCTTCAAGCTCTCTACCAAAATCCCCTCCTTGAAGCTCCCACAAGGGGAGTATTTGTAGACAAGGAGGAGGGGACAAAAAGGTGTGAGGATATAGTGTCAGGCCTTGAAAGTCCACTTGAAAGCCATCCACTCTGCAGGCTACCTCGGGAAAATGTTTGAACATTATTTGGCATTCGAATGTTGTGACTGTCTTTGCTTTGATGGGACTTCAGACGCTGGGATGTAGTTTGAATTCCCCACTCAAGTGGCCTGTGTTTTTCTAGAGAGCTACTTCCATACGCCTTGAACAACTTGACTCTGCACTCAACAACTTGGTCCTCAATAATTTAGGGGAACGTTCGAACGTTGATTGGTGTTTGAACGTGATACTCAAGTATCCCAGTGTAGCTGTAACACGCCATGTCTCAGTAGCCTGGTCTTCAATTAATTCAGGGGAACGTTCAAACGTTGATTGGCGTTCGAACGTTCTTGCTTTGTTCCAAGCTTTTTCAATTTTGTCCCCCAATATGTTGGTGTTACATTCAAGTGTGATATATGATGCTTTTCAAGCACTTGTTCACTCTCGGACTTGAAAGGTCATCATTTAAATTCCATCAAAATATAATTAGTCTTAAAAAGGCATAGTGATATAGTAATTTTAACTACTAATCAAACTGAACCACTGGGTGTGAATCATTACAAAAGAATTGAAATGGGCTAGCACGGAATTGAATTCCATTGAGTACTCCATGAACTCAACGGAGTTATTTTGATTCAAAACATGTTATTAACCATCAAAATGGCTATTTTATTATATTTAAGGTTGAGATAATTATATATTCTTTAAAATTATATGTGTTATACTCTTGGATTTTCTAGCTTGATATTTACTCTAGCTGTTTATTTTATTTTGTAGCTAATTCAGATAATTTGTAATGATAATAACGTGATCTAAGTTGAGCAACAATAGAGAAATGATTTGGTTCTAATAGGGGATAATTTGATGAAGAAGAGAAGTTGGGATGCATCCCGGACCACAAGCACACATTGGATAATGATCCCAAATAGCAACTCGAGGACAACGATCCACATCAACGATGTAACCAAACTACCAAAGAAGCCCCTTGGTTCGAGAATAGGGCTTTACATGATGAGGTGGTTCAGATAACTACTAAAGCTGACAAGTTTGATGGTAAACCAAAAAAGGCCAACGACAAAGAAAAGGAAGATGATTATTGGTTATATGAAAAATATCACGTGCCAATAAATAAGCACTGCGCTCAAGAGCGACCCAACACAAATTGGGGTCAAAGCGAAAAAATATTTTACAAAGATTTACAATATGATTTATTTTCAAAATTTTAGTGGTTTTGGGATCGAGTAGGATCAAACAATAAATTGGGTGTAATTGTGAAGTCAAGATCTTACACATAAATAAATTGAATAAATCATCTGGAAGTTGGTAAGTTTTGCTTAAACTTTCAATTTGATTTTTGACATAGTTATAAGGTGATTCACGAAATTTTTATGAAATAAACTTTTGAAACACTTAAAGTCTACTTTCCAATGCCGCAAAGATCAGGTCTATAGGAAATCGAAATAAAAAGTTATAATCAAAATACCAAAGTACTGTTAAAAATCATTCTTTTACAAATTCTCACCAATGTGTGTTTGTGGTCCGGGATGCATCCCAACTTCTCTTCTTCATCAAATTATCCCCTATTATAACCAAATAATTTCTCAATTATTTCTCAACTTGGATCACATTATTATCATTACAAATTATCTGAATTAGCTACAAAATGAAACAAACAACTAGAGTAAATATCAAGCTAGAAAATCTGAAAATATAACACATAATTTTAAAAAATATATAATTATCTCATCCTTAAATATAATAAAATAATAATTTTGTTCTCTTTGCATGTTTTGGTGGTAACACAACAACTAAAGTGTCCAAATATAACTCCACCACATGGGCCTCCACTCTCTCTATATTTCTTACCAAATTAGGTATCTATTGAACTCTCTTTCCCAATTTTGAATATACTATTTTCCTCTGTTTGGTTGCAAAGAAAAATCATAAACTAAAAGCAAAGACTAATTGCAAACATTCTTATGCTTATTACTGAGCGCATACCTTGGTGGGATGTGAGCCCCCTGCCAACCAACATGTAAAAAAGATTTCTATTCTTTTGTTAACTGAAGAAATAATGTTGGACTCAAAGAATCTCTAATTAAATGTTTGCCAATTCTTTTTGATTTTTTTTACAACACATTTCATCACGTGAACTGAACAACTGGGTGTGAATCATTACAAAAGAATTGAAACTATAGTTATTAAATATCTGGTCAAGCACAAAATTGAATTTCGTTGAGTACTCCATGAACTCAACGAAGTTATTTTGATTCAAAACATTTTATTAACCATCAAAATTGTTATTTTATTATATTTAAGGATGAGATAATTATATATTCTTTAAAGTTATGTGTTATACTCTTGGATAATTATATATTCTTTAAAATTATGTGTTATAAATATCAAGCTAGAAAATCCAAGAGTATAACAAATAATTTTAAAGAATATATAATTATCTCATCCTTAAATATAATAAAATAGCAATTTTAATGGTTAATAACATATTTTGAATCAAAATAACTCCGTTGAGTTTATGGAGTACTCAACGGAATTCAATTTCGTGCCAGCCCATATATTTAATAATTGTGGTTTCAATTCTTTTGTAATGATTCACACCCTAGCTCTTCAGTTCATGTGATGACATGGGTTGGAATTAAAATCAAACAGAATTGGCAGACATTTAATTAGAGATTCTCTAAGTCCAACATTATTTCTTCAATTAACACAATAATGAAAATCTCTTTTACACATTACTTGGCAGAGGGCTCACTTCCTATAGAGCCTGAAGCTCATAAATTATTAACTTGTACCAGCAGCACTTTAGATATTAATTGATGCCTACATCATTTTTCTCAATATATTTATGCATATTTATTTGTTTTTTTGTTAAATTTATTTTGAATTTCAGATATATTGAGATGGTCAATCCCACTCACTTTAAATATGCAGCGAGATCAATCCCTTGTTTTCAAGATAGATCTGTTTAATAAACTTGAACATAAATGGTTTTATGCTTTGACGCCCTTATCTTTTGATGAGTAACACTTTGACCCCTTTATCTTCTAATGAGTAACACTTTGACTTCTAACGAGTAATACTTTGACCTCTTATCTTATAATGAGTACTAGTTTTATCTCCTAACTTTTAAAAATTTTACTAGTTTTATCTCCTTACTTTTGAAAATTTTACTAGTTTTATCTCCTAACTTTTGAAAATTCTACTTTCACATTGATATTCTTCTACCAAATTTATAAATAGAGTCATTTGATGGAAAATCAACATAAATAAATGAGATCTTTATTACTAATACAATATTACAAGAGATTACTACTAACTTGAAGAGAAAAAAAAATGGGAGAAAATAGAGAATTTAGAAGATGAAGTTGAGAGTTTTTAGAGAGGGAAAAGAAAAGAGGCGGAACTTTCTAGAGAAAGAGAATTGAGGTGTGAAATCTGATGTCATTTTAGGGTTTTGATGCTTTTATAGACAAATAATTTCGAATGAGTTGGGTTTTTGGTCTATATCCACTCATAAAATGAACTGAATACGTGTCCATCCATTTACCTTCAATTCAATCGGCTTGGGGTCGGATAATCGGATATTCAATGTTTTATTCTACAACATATTTATACACATGATCAAAGTGACAAATAAATTTACATGATCTTAAAATTAAATAAAAATAATAAATACTCGATGTACTCGTGATCAAATCATCATTCATAACATCAATTTGACAAGCATATTTTATTTATTTAATTCAATTATTTTAATTTCATATAACTTTGCGAAAATGGCCAACATCATGAAAT